TGATTGATTACTATATATGTACATGTAGATCATTATGCGTATTACATGTATACTATGCGCATATGCGTACTATGCGCGCATTTGCCCATCTCTAGTGTTGGCGCAATCTATTTAACTCTGTTAAACCTTTCTCGCCATATTCGTTATTTGAAACATAACATAATACTTGTTGGAATAATTCCTGGACCATCTGAACTATCAGTAACAGAAATTCATCATTATCTAGAACCAATAGTACATGAATTAGAGTTATTGTGGAAAGGAGTAACTGTAAAAACCACCAGATATCCACAAGGTCATCTATTTCGGGGTGCTTTAATTCTTATTGCATGTGATACACCTGCAGCAAGAAAGGTATTTATATTTTTTTAAATTAAGGTTGGTAAGATTTTATTTACTTTTTCTTATACTACAGGTATCTGGGTTTGCAGGCCATGCAGCAAAGAATGGTTGTTACCGATGTACCTGAAAGTTTGAGACCCTTCCAAATAATCATCCGATGAAGGGAGGTTGTATTAATTTGATCAAGTGTATCCCCGCTTGACAATGAAATGCACAAACAATTTGCCTTTAGTTGGAGAAATGGAAGTAAAGCTGGACAGACTCGTATATTTGCAGAATATGGAATCCGATATTCACCATTGGTCAAGCTACCTTATATGGATCTTATACGCTTTGTCGTTATAGATCCTATGCACAATTTGTATCTTGGAACGGCAAAAAGGATGACACATTATTGGACGGATGTACAGCAACATGATACTGGGCAACTCATTACTTTCAAAAACAGACCTCAAAGAAATTCAAGAAATCATTGATACCAATCCACCACCTTCGTATTCCACACAAGATTGCTGCAGGCTTTTCATCATTCACAGCTGATCAATGGCGTAGTTGAATATTTGCTGTATTCAACATTTTGTTTATGTAATTATCTTCCTCATAATTATCAATGTTGTTGGCAGATGTTTGTTTGTGCGAATGCTTTGTGGGGCAACGAATCATAACTGTTGAGGACATTCGAAGAGGCCATGATTTTATGCTACAATTCTTGCATCTTACCGAATCTCTTTGTGGTCCAGAATTATTACACCAAATATGTACATGCACACACATCTACACGAATGCTTGGAAGACTATGGCCCAATTTATGGTTTTGGTGTTTCTGATACGAGCGAATGAATGGCGAATTGTCAGCATTACATACTTCAAATCAGACAATATCTGTAGATGAAGTTGATCAATGAACAAATAAACATATTTAGCGAAGTATCAAAGATTACGCCAAGAATTTCACAAACAATGGCGACCAAGCTAGGTCATTTACAATCACGTGCCAAGATATCGGTTGGGAGTTTAGGATAGCATCAATTTCGGTACAAGCTGCGCTTGATTTTCGTGAAATGTCTTGCAGTGTCTATAAAAAAAAATAACTGGAAGCGAGGAATTTCCTGTAAACATCACGGAAAATCTCATATCTCACATTTTGATGACAAAACAGCACGGATTCTAGCAAGATACTGTACAAAGGTTTATGAATTTACCACGCAGCATGTGATCCTAAACCAGATCAAAATGCAATCCGTGTGAGTAATATGGTGGAATGTTTTGCTGCAATTCAATTGGGAGACGAGATCTTAGGCTCACGAGTTTCACGCTCCGACCTGAGTCCTTATGTCATTATTTCTTGTATCGATGAAATACGAAGAGCTGGTGAGATTGTTAGATCCGTGTATCATTGGCCCGCGCAAGGATGTATTATTTTAAGCACTGTGTCTTTACCAAAGGAAACGAATTCTGATCAAACAAATTCAAGTTCTACAGAACATTGATTAGCATTCGTAGATTGGTTTGATTTATGTAATGATCACGATCATTTTCATATTTATAATCACGAAACGTCTACTCGCAGAGTAGATAATGGTGGAAGGGCACATGGTGGAATGTTTTGTGTGGAACTCTGGGCCAATACATTCCAGACACGGACTGAAGAGTGTATAGTTCCAGTCCATCGTATTTTCTGCCGATTTCTTAAAGGAAAATATGTATTACATCGAGCGGAAAGGCATATAGTTGTAGACCTATAAATCGAAAATTCGCAATTCAATTCAAATTTTATTTTTGCAAATACGCAATATCAACTTTCTCTTGAATTGAATGTGGCATTTGGATGTGACGGAGAATGTATTCTTCGGGTAAAAAATAAATCATGCCATGCAAATTTAATAGATGATGTGATGTAGCTATCATATGACTGACGCGAAAAATCCAATATAGGTTTTTTCTCCGAATTTTCTCATTAGTTGTGTTCTATACTTTTACCCACAATTTTTCTTAGTTTTGATTCATATATTTTCTTTTGATTTATTTGTTTAGTAAAATCGAGGTAAAAAAAAAAATAATGAAGTTTTGACACCATGTTTTGATTAGGGAAAAATTGGGGATTATTTGAAAATCAGGTTAAACTTATATAAGTTTAATCTAATATTTACCGGAGATTTATCTTGCCGATATTTTATATTATGTTTCACTTAGTTTTAACGCATACTTTTTTTGAGTATTTAGCCTAATTTTCATTTTTTTGGTAAAACCATGGAGATGTCTAGGGCGAAAACTATCAGATTAAGTTTGCCCCCACATTTTGACAAAAAAGGGGAAACCCACCTTGTTCGACCAGTGCTAGAAAGATTACCTGATTCAGCACTGTCCGTAGATTTTCCGACTTTGAACATGTATGAATTCAAGCTTATATTATGATAATTTATATATCATAATGCCAGCCCTAATTATAATCACTGCCATTTTATCCACGCGATAAAACGTTCACGTGCTTTGATTCAAATTGGATTACACAAAGAGTAATTTTACTGGTCAGCTTTAAAAATATTACATTTTTAGATTTCAAATTTATCATTTATAGTAAAATTTCGGACGAACATTTTTTCATTGACAAAGTTTCGAGTTACAAACCATAATTTGATTGGTTTACCTCTTAAAAATCATATAGTCGGATTTTTCGCCATGGCTAGTTTTCCGCGAAAAAACCGCATGTAGGATCAATGTGTAACGAAAAATCCAAACAAACTTTTAGCATATATCGCGAATTTTGGCTATTAAATTACTTTTTGTGTTCTAGCAAAAGTTTCTTGCGAATTTTACTATATACTTCCGCAATAATAATAGTCTACAAATTAAGACCAGTGCAGTAGAAAATTTATGCGCATGATTAAATCGGTTTATATTAAAGTCATGACTCTAATAAACGGTTTGACCGGTTTGAAAGTCATGATTCAGTTTGATTTTAACTATAAAGTCGTCAACTTGGGACCAAGTCAAGACCAAATCGGACCGTTAACATCCCTAGTTCCATGCTCCTGACCAATGCAGATCAATAACCGACCATCCGATCTACAATATTGTCTTGTTAAGCTGGGGTAATTTCAATTTAATCTTAACTCTGATTCTAATCCAATGAAATGCTATTAATATTACATGCGATTTGATTGGTTTACCCCTTAAAACGTCACGTTCCGAAAGTTGCATTGATTTTTTTTCAAAATTTTGAATGCGTTGATAGACCCAAGTTATACGTGGAATGTGGGAATGAGAACTAAATTACCTGACATTAATAAATTTATCGAAAATAGTCAAACTTATATTAAAATAATTTTATTAAAAACTTTAAGTTAAAAAAATAGAACTAACAATGATTTAGATCTTGTGAAAGCATATATTAAAAAAAATAAAAACTTAAGGAATCTCACTCTATACTATACTCACTTTTGAAGTAAAGAATACATTGCAAATATAAAATAATTTATTAATTAGAAATATAGAAATTATTACGAGGGTTAAAGTGATATGGGGATATCTCGAAATTAATAGGTTTAACATCTTCCAACGTAACAAGAAGTTCGACATGTTCCACTCCTGTTATCACTTCTTTTACGAATTCTCCGGGTATAAACTCGAGTTCTTCATCAATAGAACGAATCGCAAATTGTTTTTCCTCTGGTAGTATTGCATTTTTGGTGGCGAAGGCAATTAATGATGCAAAGGTTGTTCTTTCGCCAACAGCAATATTTTGTTTGTATATATATTGTTTGGATCTTATCGTCACAGTCTTTAACGTTAAGATTGTTTCTAAATAAGACAATCGTAAAATGGAGGATATAATTTATAAAGTAAGTATATTCGTTTCTAAACTCTTGGGTAAAAAAGTATGTATATTACTATTTTATTCAATGTACAGTCAAATTAATTACCTGTGTTACGTAATCTTTTATATACCACCAATTGAACTTGCTTTACATGTTTATTCATATCATCAATAAATGCTTCCCAGAAACGAAGGAATGCCGATTCATCATATAATCCGAAATGTTGTGAATTACCAATTCGACAATAGAGACGAGAAATATCAACGTTATCCCATTGAGAAGGTAAGTTTATTGATGCAATATTCATATAGAGTTGGTGTAAATTCTGTAATGGATCGGTATAATTTAAATTGTTGAGTGGCACATTTATTTGTTGCTCCATAATTATGTGTGGAAAAAATGCGAGGTCGAAACAGACAAACGGGATTTTTTTCATTTGTTCTAAATTCAATTGGTTGACAAATAGAATCATTATAATTAGAAAATGAATAAAGGCTTGGTTAATTAAATAATTGAATGCATACCATTGCGAAAAGATAAAGCATCTTGTATTTGAGATTCATTGTTACAACTTATTTGTCTTGCTACATTGTTGTTATTATTATTAATATTATTAGCATCAACATCTAATATATTTATGACATCCGCAATAGGAGGCGTGCTAATCGCACTGGTACCAGACGCGATACTAGGCGTAAACGTGGGTCTTGGCTGCTGGAAGTGAGTATCATAAGCTTTCAGTTCGTCTAAAGCTTTCTTAATTATAGGACCAAATATTTGACCTTGCCAACCAAATCCCAATGCAATATTATAAGCTTTTATTTGCTGAAAATATTGTTCAAGGGTTGCCGCTTTTATTAATTTTTGTCGTTTTGAATCAATATATTCTTGAAGTGATTCTTGTGTGATTGGAAAGGGATTTCTCGGTTTACCAGGATCTAAATTTTTAATCACATTTATAAAATTAGTTACGCCAACCCTTGACGCCCTTGTACCTATACTTGGTGAATATCTACCTCGTTGATTTTTAGTTTTATGGTTATTATTATTATTATCATCGATTGAATCGAAAGATGTCCTTGGTGGAATAACTTCTGTTGTTTCAATGTTAGAAAATTGTTGATATTGACGAGTCGGTGGCATATTAAAAAAATATGTTTTTTCATAATGGAAAGTACTAATTTGAGCGATTTATTTTATACCTGTATTGTGCAGTACAGACACGTGGAGATTAAATAGGAAATTTCGATTTATATACATGTACATGAACCAATTTTTAAATTGTTGATTGGGTAATAACATATATTTTGACAATATATTTTAACATTTGTCCCTTTATATATATGTGTGTGTGTATGTGAGAAGATAATTTATAGTATTTCAATTGATTATACATAGATACAATAAAAATGATATTAAATTATTATAATTGTTTTAGAAATAAGACTTATATATTATTAATATTCGTTTCTTGATGTCCTTTTTTTTTGTTGCTTTAGATGAAAGAAATTTGTGATTACATGTATTACTATTTGTATATAATTAATTATCACTATATGTAAGACTTATATTATTTTATATTATACATGTATCTTTAAATAGCACATATAATATATATTATATTCTATAAAGATATATCTGAATCTAGAATGAAGTAATTTTTATTATCAAGAAATTTTTTTGTTTCATATAAAAATAAACTTAGTATAAACAATTCCCAGCATATAATTCCATCATTCCATTGCAAAAGATTTTTAAACCTATAGCGAGTGTTTTTTCCATTAAAATTTAGATAACTAAATGTACGGAATGCGTTTCCTAAATTTTATGACGGATCAGATAGCAGGTCAGGTTAATCGTATCCAAAGCGAGAGTCTATTACAAAAATAGCTTAAACTGTATTTCATACATATGTATGGCGGCTGACTGTTGCATCAATTACCCTGGAATTCTGATTATTGGTTATCTGTTCGACGTTTACGGATTTATTACTATTAAATTACTTCTTTGGGGTTCAGATCACTATTAAGTTCGATCAGTAAATTACATCTAGGTCACAATTAATGGCCAGTATATTAGTTTCTTGATTAGCATAAACAGATTTTTTAATTAAGAAGAGGAAGCCATAATTAATTTTCCTATCGAATAAAATATTACGCAATTATGCTGATTCGCAAAAAGTCTATAGGGCTTGAAAGGATAAAAATAGTTGACCATTCCATCATCAACACATTAAAAGTCAAATATCATGTTTAACTTTATATTTGTTTAAGTCTCGATAAAATCATCTTAAGTAAAAATATCGCCTTCTTGCATTTATGTATCATCAATAAACTCTTATATTAATTTATGTCTACTATACGTATTTCGAAAATATGATTTATAGCGATAAATTCGAAATGCATACACAATTTTATTAACATTATAAGCAAATACCAAAATATATGTAATACAGAGAGACCTCCTTAAATTGGCCTCAGGGTCACAGTAAAAAAGCCAATGTACGCATTTAGATAAGACATGCGTTTATAGAGAACAAAATATGTAGAGCACTTATATGTTTGGACCAAGTCATACTTGCAATTAAAGTAGGGGGCGCATTTAGAGAGGTGCATTTAGGGAGATTGTTTTGTATAATAAAAGCCTACTACATGCTAAATCTTGAGCCTATTATATTTTCATACAAAATAGTAATATATTATGTGCTCATTAATCAAATATAGTATCATTCTTGAAGGTGTATTTCGAAAGGTTATGATTGTAGCGATAAAGTCTAATTACATATTGAATAAACAGAGCTGCACATTTATTTTAATACCATTATAAGCAAATCATAAAGTAATACAATAAAAGCCTAGCTACATGCAACTTCTGAAGGAAGTAATCAATTTTTATGATACTCCTGGCTCAAGAAAAATTATTGCTTTGATATCACAAATTTTGTGCATGCATGGGCTGCATGGTGTTTATTATAATGGTGCTTATTCATTAATTTTATTCGAACAAGTGCTTTTTTCCGGAAATGCAGTTAATTCTTGAATTAAAATAGTTATTTATACATACATAAACAAACAGAGCTGCATATCCAATATTATACAGTCGTGTAAACATATCAAAAGTCGTACAATTAAAGCCTAGCTACATGTAATATCTGATCATTCTTTCAATAAAATCCACTCGATACAATAGTTACTATGAATTTTCAAAATCATCAATATAGTGGATTTTGAATTAATTGATAAAAAAATTTCTGATTCAAGAAATTTCTGGAACAATGTAAAATTTCCTATTTTAGGAATATGCTAAAGCGTTTCGAGTCATGTGATCAGTCTCCAGAATATACTATCAATGATTTTAATGATTTATAAGGTCTGGGTAAGGGTGTTTGTTAGGACAGAGAACAAAATTATATGTAAAATTGCCGTCCCGAGATTTTTAATTAGTATTCCAAGACAGATTTAGGCATTGATTTTCTTATAATATCTCATTTTTCATATCTTGTGTCGGATTTGTTTTGTCGGGTTGATCAAGATTTGTGCACCACTATCGGATCCCGACATTTCAACGCCTAAAATCCCGCTTTACCTAAATCCCAACTTCCCAATATCCACAACATTCCCAACATCCCGATGCCCAAAAGCTTGAAAATTGTATAATAAAATATTTATGTGATATATATATAATATTATTTCTGAACTTCACGTTGCATTTTAAGATTTTTGCGTATATGGTATTTGCATCGGATGTTGGGAAGTCGGGATCACCCTTTATATACGCTTATTCTTATTATTAAATAATTGTAAATAATGTCTCGTAATAAAATTATCACAAATTCAAATTAATTTCTCACCTTGTAATATTAACATTGATACAGTATTTGTTTACTATGCACTCCTAATACTAATAATTTCTTATTCCACAATCTCGAGATTTTTATTATTAATAAAATTCATATTGATTTCATACTTTGTGCATTTTTCTCCTACTTTATAATAACAATAATATTTAATTTTAAATGCTTACTTTATAATATTAAATTCTTATTAAATATTTATTCAGTGATCTAGATATTTTCTTATAACAAAATTCTTGATAATTACACTAGATAGTTGTGTAATGACCAAATTGTATGTATAGGATGGTTTGAAAAGCGAGCAATGTATCTTTTAAAAAAAGAAATATTAATTATTTTTAATTCTTATCTAAACAATGCTTCGTTTGTGCCCAACAAATTGATAGCCTTTATTTACTTTATTCTGAACAAAATTGATGGATTACCTTAAAATTAGATGCACATATTTGATTATTTCATTGTAATTTATATCGTTGTTTTGGAATTCCTATTTGTAATTTGAGTTCGTTATTTTTCTTTAGTGGAATTAATGAATTTTTGGTTTGAATTTTTATTTGATTACACATTATTTTTTTGATTTCACAATCTCGGTGAAAAGATAGGCATAGGAGACTTTTAGGGCCTTTAGGGTCACCCACTACATCTTCAATTCTTTAGTCAACCTCACTTATAAATTGAGTGGAACACTATAAGAGAGTCGCTATATTTGTTTGTATTTTTTGTTCGTGTTTTTCATTAATAGACATACCCAAGCATCTGATGTTGCCAGCATTTGCAAATAAGCATAACAATTTCTCATATTATTGAAGATTAAGGCATGTTATTATATGGCGTTTACTTACCAAATAATATGGAAACTATTACAAACGAATAAATATATCAATATAACAATAAATGATCTCATATTTGAGTTCTTATTAATGTACACAGTCAAACTTTATAAGATAAAATCTCTAGACTGACTAAAAAATTTATTTTATAAAGAAATTGTATTATAAAATAAATTTTATTATAATTTATTATTCTTTGGGGTAAGAAAAGTTTAGCATAGACTAGTTTTATCTTATTGTGACTTTAACTTATAGAGATTGACTGTGTAATTCAATGAGATTAGCACAATTTTATTTATGAGCAGTCGTATGTAGGAAAATAATTAAAACAAAAAGGTTCTTTAAAACAATTAATAATAATTAGTTCCAAAATATCGAATTATAAATACATTTTTATATAATATTTATATAAAGAGCTATTATATAAATGATGATATTTTTCTTTTCAGGTTTGTGTTCGGATATATTGTATAAAAAATTGTAATTTCAAAATTATAATACTCTCATTTTTCAAAATACTAGGAAGGTATTATTCATGTTTGGAAACGTTTATTTCAAATTATCTGGGCTTCTTTAGGGGATGGAGATATATCACCTAATTATTGAGGGGGGGGATCTCAAAAATCTCACCTTCCACATAGTCAAAATAATTAGTAAATCAAATATAATAAAAATCTCATCTGGGGGGAGGGTCAGTTCTATAGTAACTACATATTACGTAATATATGTCCATTCCCTTATTTAATTTGCTTTTATTTTATGCTGAATATCAGAATAATTCTAAGTTTATTTAATCAGATCACGGCTTTTTATATTAAACTGTAAGAATGAGGAAACATAAAACCGATAGATAAAATTATAAATTCTTAGAAATATATAATTTCACTAAAACATACCTTGTGTTACGAGTTTTCTCTAAATGCACCCTTCATAAGTAAATACATTCATACATGATATATCCTGGTCAAGCTATATTTGAAAAATATGATAAATTATAAAAATTTATTAGTAATTATGATATATTTTATTGTAAATAATATATTTAATTATAATAAAATATATATATTTAATATTAATAAGTAGAATTTTTATATATATCTAAGAATATAAGCTATATTTTTAATAAAGTATCTTTTCTACTAATAGACAAATAAAGAATATATACCAAAATAATCAATAATTTTTATATGTAGAAAAGCTTGTAAAATCTTGTAAATAAAATAAATAATACTTGACTTACTTAAAGTAGAGAGTACCCTGCCAAAAATATCCATCACTTTGTGATCAGCAAATAAAATTGCGCCCCGTAGCTTACATTCAAATTGAGATATCTCGCCTTACATCTAGCTTAATTTCAAGTTTCTTTTTTTCCTGAATAGACAAAGACGGTAGCTTTCAAAAATCATAAAACTACTTTTTAGCTTTATTTACTGTATTTTATGAAAAATGTCTAAGTCTTGTGAACTCAATGTTTTCGAACGTGGAATGATTATTGGACTTCACAAGGGCAAGCACAACTCATTAACAAATTCAAAAACGATGGACTCACTGAACCTCTTCCTTGTTCAGGAAGACCACTTCTTTTGACTGACTGTGAAGAGCGAACTCTTGTGCGAGTGACCAAAGATAATAGGAAAGAGTCGCTTGAAGAAATTATTAAGCTGTTCAACAGCTTATGCCTTATCCAGATTAGTAAATTTTATTAGAAGTCGTTAATACACTTTCTGAACAAACTTAATTTGAATGTTTGATAAAATTTTCGAAGTAATGTACATCATCAAAAGTGACGGATACTTTTGGCAGGGGGTGTAGCTAGGCTTTTATTGTATTACTTTATGATTTGCATATAATGGTATTAAAATAAATGTGCAGCTCTGTTTATTCAATACGTAATTAGACTTTATCGCTACAATCATAATCTTTCGAAATACACCTTCAAGAATGATGCTATATTTGATTAATGAGCACATAATACATTACTATTTTGTATGAAAATATAATAGGCTCAAGATTTAGCATGTAGGTAGGCTTTTATCATACAAAACAATATCCCTAAATGCACCTCTCTAAATGCGCCCACTACTTTAATTGCAAGCATGACTTTATTTTGTTCTCTATAAACGCATGTCTTATCTAAATGTGTACATTGGCTTTTTTACTGTGATCTTGAGGCCAATTTAAGGAGGTCTCTCTGTATTACATATATTTTGGTATTTGCTTATAATGTTTATAAAATTGTGTATGCATTTTGAATTTATCGCTATAATTTTTTGAAATACGTATAGTAGACATAAATTAATATAAGAGTTTATTGATGATACATAAATGCAAGAAGGCGATATTTTTACTTAATATAAAGATGATTTTATCGAGTCTTTAAACAGATATAAAGTTAAACATGATATTTGACTTTTAATGTGTTGATGATGGAATGGTCAACTATTTTTATCCTTTCAAGCCCTATAGAATTTTTGCGAATCAGCATAATTGCATAATATTTTATTCGATAGAAAAATTAATTAAGCTTCCTAACTCCTCCTATTTAAAAAGAGCTTAGTTATCAACTATATCTTTAATAATTTCTTTTATTACAAAATGAATTGATGCAAGATCTTGCAACCTATAATCTGATTTTAGAGTCTTGATACTTAAAAAATCTGCTTATGCTAATCAAGAAGTTAATATACTGGTCATTAATTGTGACCTAGATCCCAAAGTAGATCGAACTTAATAGTGTTCTGAACCCCCCGAAGTAGTTTAATAGTAATAAATCCGTAAACGTCGAACAGATAACCAATAATCAGAATTCCAGGCAAAGTAACGGTAATTGGTGCAACAGTCAGCCGCCATACATACAGTATGTACAAAATACAGTTTAAGCTATTTTGTAATAGACTCTCGCTTTGGATAAGATTAACCTGCTATCAATTTTTAAATGTAAAAAATTTAGTTATCTAAATTTTAATGGAAAAAACACTCGGCTATAGGTTTAAAAAATCTTTTACAATGGAATGATGGAATTATATGCTGGGAATTGTTTATATTAAGTTTATTTTTATATGAAACAAAAAAATTTCTTGACAATAAAAATTACTTCATTCTAGATTCAGATATATCTTTATAGAATATAATAGATATTATATGCGCTTTTAAAGATACATGTATAATATAAAATAGTATAAGTCTTACATATAGCGATAATTAATTATACACAAAACCAATACATGTAATCACAAATTTCTTTCATCTAAAGCCACAAAAAAGGACATCAAGAAATGAATATTAATAATATACATTGTTGGCCCAAGTCTTATTTCTAAAACAATTATAATAATTTAATATCATTTTTATTGTATCTATGTATAATCAATTAAAATACTGTAAATTATCTTCTCACATACGCACACACACACACATATATAAAGGGACAAATGTTAAAATATATTGTTAAAATATATTGTCAAAATACTGTATATGTTATTACCCAATCAATAATTTAAAAGTGGGTTCATGTACATGTATATAAATCGAAATTTCCTATATAATCTCCATGTGTCTGTACTCACAATACAGGTATAAATAAATCACTCAAATTAGTACTTTTAATTATGAAAAAACCTAAATTTTTTCAATATGCCACCGGCTCGTCAATATCAACAATTTTCTAAAGTTATTCCACCAAGGACATCTTTCGATTTAATCGATGATAATAATAATAATAACCATAAAGCTAAAAATCAACGAAGTAGATATTTACCAAGTATAGATACAAGGGCATCAAAGGTTGGCGTAACTAATTTTATAAATGTGATTAAAAATTTACATCCTGGTAAATCGATAAATCCCTTTCCAATCACACAAGAATCACTTCAAGAATATATTGATTCAAAACGACAAAAATTAATAAAAGCGGCAACCCTTGAACAATATTTTCAGCAAATAAAAGCTTATAATATTGCATTAGGATTTGGTTGGCAAGGTCAAATATTTGTCCTATAATTAAGAAAGCTTATGATACTCACTTCCAGCAATCAAGACCCACGCTTACGCCTAGTATCGAGTCTGGTACCAGTGCGATTAGCACGCCTCTTACTGCGGATGTCATAAATATGTTAGATGTTAATGGTGATAATAGTAGCAAGACAAATAGTTTGTAACAACAAATCTCAAATACGAGATACAAATGTGCCACTCAACAATTTAAATTATACCGAGCCATTACAGAATTTACAACAACTCTGTATGAATATTGCATCATTAAACTTACCTTCTCAATGGGATAACGTTGATACTTCTCGTCTCTATTATCGAATTGGCAATTCACAACATTTCGGATTATACGATGAATGTTTCTGGGAAGCATTTATTAATGATATGAATAAACATGTAAAGCAAGTTCAATTGATTATATATAGAAGATTACATGACACAGGTAATTAATTTGACTGTACATTGAATAAAATAGTAATATATATACTTTTTTCCCAGGAGTTTAGAAACGAATATACTTACCTTATAAATTATATCCTTCATTTTACGATTGTCTTATTTAGAAACAATCTTAACGTTAAAGACTGTAACGATATGATCCAAACAATATTTATAAAACAAAATATTGCTATTGGCGAAGGAACAACCTTTGCATCATTAATTGCCTTCGTCTCCAAAAATGCAATACTATCAGAGGGAAAACAATTTGCGATTCTTTCTATTGATGAAGAACTCGAGTTTATACCTAGAGAATTTGTAAAAGAAGTGATAGCAGGAGTGGAACATGTCGAACTTCTTGTTACGTTGGAAGATGTTAAACCTATTAATTTCGAGATATCCTCATATTACTTTAACCCTTGTAATAATTCCCTGTGTTTCTAATTAATAAATATTTTTATATTTGCAATGTATTCTTTACTTCAAAAGTGAGTATAGTATAGAGTGATATTCCTTAAGTTTTTAATTCATAAATTTTTTAATATATGCTTTCACAAGATCTAAATCATTGTTAGTTTTATTTATTTTAACCTAAAGTTTTTAATAAAATCATTTTAATATAAGTTTGACTATTTTCAATAAATTTATTAATGTCAGGTAATTTAGTTCTCATTCCCATTTCCACATATAACTTGGGTCTGTCAACGCATTCAAAATTTGAACTTTGCAGATCTTATGAAACCTAGCCATGACGAAAAAAAATCAATATAACTTTCGGAACGTGATGTTTTAAGGGGTAAACCAATCAAATCGCATGTTGTAATATTAATAGCATTTCGGTTAATATTGGATTAGAGTCAGAGTTAAGATTAAATTGAAATTACCCCAGCTTAACCAGACGAAATTTCACAGTATTTTAGATCGGATGGTCGGTTATTGATTTGCAATGGTCAGGAGCATGGAACTAAGGACGTTAACGGTCCGATTTGGTCTTGACTTGGTCCTAAGTTGACGATTTTATAGTTGAAATCAAACTGAATTATGAGTCATGACTTGAGGAATATAAACCGATATAATCATGTGCATAAATTTTATTTGTTCAATATCAAGTCATGACTTTTGTATTATCGTTTTGGCAGTATACGTTATGAAACAACGACGACGAAATGTAAGCATGTAAATAACTATGCACAATGATGTTTTAAATAAAAAACATATGAATTTACTGAATTTACATTCATTAGATAATGAGCCATGACCCCAAACCGTGACTTTAAACCGCGGTTGTTTCCGGTTTCCTCCAAGTCGCTAACATAGCTGAATAGAAGGGCAAATCATGTAATTTTTTCAAAGAATAAACTTTAATAGCATTTCAAAATTTTCGCTTTGTTAGATCACAGTAAAAATTAACGTTTTGTTTTTCGTCACACTATCTATCTTTGACTATTAAAATTTCAGGAAGGCAATTTTACATATAATTTTTGTTTTCAACCCAATACCTTACCCTTATTCACATAATGAAATTCAGAATACAAATTAAGAGATGATTATCAAGATAAATAGATTTCAATTATTGGGTTAGAGCCACTATTAAAGTTATATTGCATAGATTGTTGTAGAATAAAATTTTGCAAGAAATGTCTTTTGTTAGAACACAGCTAGATTCATAGGCAAAATTCAAAATACAATCTATTTTTCAAAATAAATGGTTTGAAATTTTTCCGTTGCATAATTGATTTGCAATTACACCTTTTTATTACTTTCATTATTACCAATCATAAATTTCTGACACTGGCCCGGATTTAGCATAGTACCCTAGCCACAGCAAAAAAATGTCGTATCATGTGATTTTTCATGTGATTTGGACCGAGGCCAGTAAATAAAGAAATGTCGGATCACGTGTTTTAATAAATACCGATATTCTAATCAATGTAAATACTTTTTTGCTGATTAGATCAATATTAAAGGCACTTAGCTGATTTTAAAAAAAATATAACTATCTCTTGTATCATCAATATGTTTTAAAAAACTACTTTTATTTATAAACTAACAATAACATATTATTTAAATTAACTTTATTATTTAATATCAATCCAAATAAAAGCACAGATAAGCCTATATATAAAGTTGTCCGTTGATTATCATCTAAAGAATAGAATAGATTCAGTTAAACACAACAACAAAATAAAAAACACCTTACTTTTTTTTTAGAACTCGAACTCTCACAAAATCCAAAGTGAGAACGCCCAAATAAATCCGTGACCGAGAAGTCCGTTGG